AAAAAGATAGTTATTATGCAGAAGTATAAATATAAAAACGTATGAAATACTAAAATATGTAAGGTGGCTTTTAATCTTGGAGCTGATTAAGTTGGCTGTTACTTTTCAGGTGGTTTTGTATACTTTTATACTATTTTAACCTTTTTGCTTAAGGGCTTTATAATGTGTTAATTTTTTATGTATGTGCTATTAATTAATAATATTAATAATAATAATAATAATAACCTAGTATGGGAGGAAATGTAGTTGAGTAGAACTATACATTACAATTACAGTTAATGTATATATGTATGCTATACACTGAATTTATATTGTGTATATGAAGTGAATACATCACAACATATTTGCTTTTCCCACTGTTTTTCAAAGCAGAGGCACAAGGACCCTGAAATAAAACTTTTTGTGATAACTAATTTTGTTTATCGCAAAAAAACAAAAAACAAAACCTATCACAGCTTAAAAACTGATTTATAGCTTTAAATGCACATCAGTTATTCTTATTATGTAATTAATGCCTTTTTAATTTTAATAGTTAATGTTATTAACTATTAAAATCTTTTTTTTCTTGCAAAGTTAGGGTCAGCTGAGAATTACATCCACTGCAGATTGTTTTAATCATTTAAACACTTGAAGGCAATGATGTACAGAACAGAACATATACAGGGTTTAGCCCTTACATATTTACATTTTGATGGTTTTCATCAGATTCTGTACAAACGGCAATTTTTTCTTTGTGTCTGCATTTTTTTAAACATCCATTTTTATGAATGCCACCACCACTAATAAATGTAATAAAAATGAAACTTCTAACACTAAAACAATGAAATAATAATAATAATAAAATGTCACAGAAAGCCACCACTCTTCCCAGATCTTAGCCGACGGTGTTAGCGTTGCTGCGCTGTCACATGGTGATATTGTGTTTGCCAGGTGAGAGCCTGGCCGGACTAATCAGTAAAGGCAGAGTAATTTGCCCGCAGACATGTTCCAGAGCAGAACTCCCCAGTGCTTTGCTCAACCTGCTGTCCCAGGTGGCTTTAATGCCTGAATGGCCCCTTTACCTGCTCCGAACTACAAGGAATTCAAAAAAAGAGACGTCATAACAGGAAACAGGAACAGGAAAGAGACTTGGCGCACTCTGAGGAGGCCAGGTGCAGAGTTTGGCTCAACTCTCAGCTGCTCTCTGGCTTGTGCAGGCAAGAGGGCGGCTGCTGGTAGCGGAGGTCTTTTCATCGCCAAGGTTCTTTATCAAACCCCTGGGTCTAGTTTGCTCTCCTGTTGCTCCTGCTTGGTGGGTTGCCGTTATAAATTAGGCTGCAGGAGATGTTGGGAGCTCCCTCGCGGATCCTTTCCCGATTACTGCGCACGCAGAGTGTCAAATGAAATATCAGCTACACAGTGCACCATTTTTTTTTAATTACCAGGAGGCAGCTCGTAAAAGCAGCATCGTGAGCAAGGGTGGTACGCGTTCCTTTTTCTGGTGTGTTTAAAGCTACATCTCGCTGCTCGCTTTCTTTCCTGAGCCGCATCGCTCGAGGATATTTAACCACTATGTTGAAGGAAAAAGATGGCCTACATAACAGCTACTTCAATTTATTTGAGTCACTCACTAATGATCGCTTGTAAGATAGATTTCCTTCATCCTTTCCGAGCTTACTCTTGGAAATTTACTACCCCAGTTCACTGTCTGTACAGCGAAGGGAACAAATTAATTTACAGCCGTGCTGACCGGTTTAGAACATGATGACGTTGGGAGGAAAGAATTACTTTTAGCTTGCCCTTAAAAGCCACACCGTAAAAACGTGTGAAAGAGACGAAATCAGACACTAATATTGCAATTTTCTAAATTGCCAAGATTTACAGCCCAGACATCTTTTTCCACCTGAAGATGCATACAGTGACAATATTAGCTCTACAACATATGCACAATTAATTATTTGAAAGCCCACTAAGTTGGGGTTGTATTTATTTTTGAGTGGTTGTCAGCTAAGTTCGTCATTGTGGCCGCCTGGGTGGCCGCGGCCTCTGCCAAAGATGCCCTCGCTGTGTTTAATCTTTGACATTTATTTGTTTGTTTTGTGAATGAATATGCAAGCTGGAAAGACCTATTAGTTCCAGTGTATCCTCATTACAGGGGGCCGTTCATCCTGCTAGACTGTGGTTGGTCGAGCAGTCGTTCCTACAGACCAATGTCCAGACATCGCCTGGCAACCCTCGCTTTAGCCCACGACCATTCACTGCTCTCTGCCAACCAGAATCCAGATCTGGCACAATGAGGCTCAACTCGAAGCCACGCTGGCATCGCAGCCGCAAGCTGGGCCTAGAAGAGTTCACGTTTGTATCAATATTTTGAAAAATCAAAAAACTCAAACTCTCAGTGAACCACCTAAATAGGGAGGGCGTCGTGATGGTTTTAAATATTGACTTTTTTATTTGCACATTTGTTGTTGTCTCTCATAACAGTTCCAAGGGCTATGAGCTTGTTTGTATATGCATGTGTGTGCGCGCGTGTGGTTTATTGGTTCCTTCTCTGTAGCATCCACGAGGCCTCTAAGAACTGGCCTCACCTCATCTGGCAGCCATTACCTGCACACATGCTCCTGTCTGAAGGTTGATCTGCTGGGTTAAACAAATCCAGGCAGTGCAGTGTGGCTCGCCAGGAGTCAGCTCCATACATCAGCTGTGGAACAGCCAACATGACAGGGTTAGAGCTGGCTACCGTTAGCCGCGTGCTATCACTGATCATCCTTTGCCAAATACGCTCCAAAATGACAAGCTCGCTTTAGTTCAGGCGCTGATTTCGGCCATCAAACTCACTGAAATGTGTGACTTCTGCTTACGGTTTTGGAGGAGGGAAACGGGCTCCCGAGTTTCCCACTGCAAAGATGTGACACAAATCATTTCTCATGTATGAAGTTCCAAACTAAACAGTAACAGGCATATAGTCTTGGTATTGAATGTGGAATTCAGTAATTATCTGCAGCAATATGCTTTATCCAGCGTTTTGCTGCGAGACGGGGAATAAACGCAGCGCTCTCTCAGCGGGGACGGCACGGAATTGACAATTCGACCAAGTTTGTGGCGTCTGATTCGATTCCGCTCCCAATCAAAAGCGTGTGAGATTCCATTTATGTTTATTACATTTCCTGTTTCTCACTTCATCACGTTGGAATTGAAACTGACAGGGTAATTATCATTTCACCCTAAATTGATCCCAATCCATGTGGGCTGGCTCCAAACACGGAGACACGAGAGGGGGAAAAAAGCGAGAAAAAAGAAGCAGCATTCTGGGAGAATTTGGCGATGGTTCAGTCATCTGTAATACGTATCGCTTGAAGGGTGGGGAGAGATGGAAGGAGAGAAGCAGGGAGGGGAAAAGGAAGGGGAGACGTTTGGAGATTGCGTTGCGGGTGTTCCCTTGATGTCCCCCTGACAGGAACCAGATTGGGAGCCGCGCGGCGTCGGCGCTTTGGCTTTTTATTCGTCTGGCTCCGCCGGGTTTTTCCTGGCCTGAGCAGGCCCGGTTCTGAGACGCTGCGGCCCACTCGTGGAGCCAGCCTGTAGTTTAAGTGAGAATAACAAATGCTAGAAAAAATAATAGGCCTACAAAGAGAAAAAGAGACGAGCAGCACAATCCTACTATTGTTCGCGGTAGCTAGGCAGAAAGCACAGTCGAGCCACGTCTTTGGGACATTTTACTGGCTCTAATAAAGAGTGTGTGGTCCCTGTTTTGGAGAGGTCTGCCAGACTGACAGATATGCTCCACAGTAGTATTGGATGGTTCCGTATCATGTATTTTGACTTGTGTTACTTGGCACAGCTCAGGCGAGACCTGTCATTCATCATGCTTTTTCCGAGCCGAAAGTAGTGGGCCGAGTTGCTTATGATGGCATAGTGTGCAACACGTTGAATAAGTAATGGTAAAGGTGCTCGTGGATAGTGGCGGACTCAGAGAGCCGTCACTCCAAAGAACTTGCACATAAAGTGACACAGTCGTCCAATCTGACACACGTTTAAACGTACGGGTGATGGTGTGTGTGATTTTATTAACAAGAAAATATTTATCCATGTCGGGGAGCAATAAATCTGTACATTACTTACTATAGGCTGACTGAATGTATTCTGAATCAGATGTTGCAGTTACACACATGTAGTTTAGCAGCAGGAGGTATGTTGCTTTACAGTGAGCATCTTTGTGTGGTCGTAAGGTTACGGACTTTTAAAAAATGCACAAGGATTAAACTTTCGGCCTGTGCTGAGGCAGCTCGTGTGAAGATTCAAACGCATTTTCTTCAATAAAATGCAAAAAAACAGGGGAGGTGAGACACGATTCTTCCCTCAAAAATTATTCAGTGTTATTTGCCGGATTTGTAGCAGACTCACATTCGCGTCCCTGGCTTCTACTGTGTGTGGGATACAGAAACACAGTTTGGTCTGTGCTTAATCAGCTCTGTTTTTAAGTGTTCGCTCCTCAGTTTTCCAGCACAGCCCCGTGAAAGAAAAACGTCTGGTTGTGGGTGGCTTAGCTGGGTCACTGAGCCCACAGAGTAGAGCATTTCATAAGAAAGAGCCCACTTAATTCTGAACCATACATCGCATTAGCTGATTTACATGTGGACAGCTATCATTTTGTGAAGGCTTTGACATTGATAAATGAGGTGTTTTACCTAATAGCTAATAAAAACAAATTACAGGTCTTAAGAGAAAGGATGTTCTTCATTTGGCTCTGTTTTCTGTCTCTTTGAGGGCAAGAGCCAGATTGTTTCCATATGATTGTACCCTTCATTTGTTAAGAATACAGACAGAGATTAATAACAGGATTTTCTGATGACCGATCCATACTTTGCCTCTGAGTTAATTAAAGAAAAATGGTGGAAACTACTGGACATTAAGGACAAACGACTGCTTCATCTGCAGGCTTAGACATTTGTAAGCTACACAACTTTTATAATTATTAATAAGTATAATATATAATATGCAGTATTACAATATAATTATATATTAAATCATTTGACTCTTTAGTGTTTTTTCTCTCCCTCCGATTCTCAGCATTTCCACTGTTTTCACACATTAAACTTCATTTATTACAGGAAACTAAAATCTCTCCACTATGAAAACATGACAAACACATAACTGATATTTATATCCTCCTAGCCGTACGCTAAGAGCAATAAACTTTTCTCAAAATTAGCAATACACAAATAATCTCATGGTTACTGTGAAACCTTGATGGTTTTCACAGTAAGACTGTTAATTATGCAGGGTATAAATGCCTCAGTGCTATGATTATGTGGCTGCTGCCCTTGTCCGCGATCCATCAAATACGCTAAAATCAAATTAGCGAAACTATAAACAATCTACTTATGGTCTGAGGGGATTTGCGTGGTTTTCTCAGAGGGTGCATTTTTGACACACAATGTTAAATGACAAATGGCAGGTCAGAGACAGAAACAAATCAGCGCTCTGACCAGAGGTTTTTTTTCCCAAAGAAAAAATATTAGCCCAAACACTACTTAGTAGGTGAGGGTGTGTTATTCTTAACTGGTTCGAATCACTACTGGACTCTGCAGGTCCCACAGAGCTCATATATAAGCTCTCTCAGGTTTCTTCAGTAAGGCGTGAAAAGGCTTCCCTTTTTGTGTCTGACTTAAGACAAGTCTCCCTCTATCCTCTGTTAAACATGCTGTAGCCCAAAAGAATAAGGCGGCCACATCCACAGCCCCACAGGCCATAATTTTCCACAAACTACAGCAACTTTACATGTACACTGTGAAAGCTGTGCAGTCAGGTGTGATTTCATACTTCACTGTACAGCTACAGGTGGTAGTAAATTAGCACGCTGCACTGAGGGAGCTGCAGTTAAATAAACTGAAATGTACATCTTTCCCTTCGCTCAGGTACATCAGGTAGGACACTTGCCAGAAATGCAGAAAATGAAAAGTCCTTCTGTGAATGTTTCATTTGAGAGATTAGAGACGTCACTTTTTAACCCTGAAATTAGAGAATTATGTTTTGTCAGAATCCTGCAATCATCTCATAGAGAAACAAAAGCGATACTTTTCCTGCAAATTTAATTTCGCTGCTCCATCCTTGCTTGTAAATGATGCAGGCATACATAATGACTGTAGTCGGGCCCGAGGTAATTTCAAGTGCCACATCCAATCAGCAATGCATCACAGCTTGGAGCGTAGTCACTCTTTCTGCACGGCCTTCAGCTGAGGTGATGCTCAACCGCTGAAACACAGTAAAAGTTACCAAGAAAGAGTGAGGAAAGAGGAGGGGGCAGGGGGATTTCTGGGTAGAAGGTGCGGGGGGGTGAAAGAGCCTTGGATCCTGTGGTAAGTGCCAGAGGGACACGTTTTGTTGGAACACGGGTTGTGCTGAGTGATGGGAGAACGGCTACAGCAGTGTTTAGAAACACCAGTCGGCCAGTCTATTGCCTAGGAGCCTGGGTGTCTGCACAAAGCCCCCCCCCCTCCGCACACTGCTCTAAGTAGGATGGTACATGCAGCCTCACTGCATACCACTCCTGCACGCCGCTAAAATTAGCCCCCCCTGGAACCAGATGGAATTCTAAACAGAATAAACTTTTCTTGACTTGATTATATTGAGCCTTTCCAAGCTCCGACATTAAAAAGAAAGAGAGAAGGAAAAGAACGAGGGGGAACCTTAGAAGCTAATTGCTTTGGGTCTGGCGTGCACATTGGGCATTGTGTTGAGTTGAGACGCTGCAGTAATGCCGGAGCCGTTCCTCGGGCCGTGTCTCCCAACTGTCACATCTTCCATGCGTTTGCGGTGGGCTTGCAGCTCCACATGGAGTGCATGTGAACCCACTAATTAAAAGCAAGCGATCCGTAACTGTCTGGCTCACCAGCCCATGCTCATCCATGTGGTCCCCATCGGCTCTTGTAGACCCCCAGCCCTTCACAGGCCTCCGTTAGGCCTCTGCATGGGAGTGATCTGAAGAAAAAAATTAAATGACTCTCTTATAAAGAAAACACTGAGGAGGTAATTATGATTTTTAATTACAATTAATTTTTATTTGCTGACTTTGACACCGTCAGGGTGGAAAAATAATTAAACAAATTATTTTAATCATCGTATGAAATACTGTATTGGAAGTATAGTGTGACTATCTCTCATAAGCAATTTTAACCGTGTATGACAAAATCTGTATTACTTGTAATGCTTTGGATTTTAATCCTGTTGATAAGTCAGTTGTGATATTTAGTGTGAGTGGCAAGTGCGGTTTAAAACAACTTGTAGGAAATACAACAGTGGAGCAGATGGTGTATCTGTTCGCAGATTAGCTAAAGCAGCTCAGATTGTTTTAATAAAGAAATCGGTCAATAATAATTGCAAACAGTCTATTTCCATGCCACACATGTTGTCAGTAGTATTCCCTAAAACAGCACCACAAACACAAGAAAGTTAATTGCTAAGAATTTAGGATATGTACATGCTAAAACTGTAACTGTCAAATAAGCCGTTTTTCTTTTAAGGTGGAAACTTTTTTTGTTTTAGCAAAATTTGTTAATTCAACCTGGCAGTAAAAAGTAATAATAATAACTAAGTACTTGGTCTGAATATTTTACAATAAACCCCGATGTATGTGTTTGGAAAAAGAACAAAACACAATATGTACGTTTGGTTTGTAGTTACTTAAGTCCACTATTAACTTTTTACTTCACTGAGAAGAAAAATTAATCTTACAGATGGAAAAATTATGACACCTATTAATTAACGTTTAAAATAATCTAATATTTGGCACAATGATCTGTGTGTATCCTGCAGCTGTAATGTTTTACTTCTCTTTATATTTTAGCAAACACAGTTTTGGGGGGTAAAAATGGATTTCATTCATTTGAATTTGACAGTACAACATAGAAGCTGTGTGAACATGCAACCAGAAGGTGACTTTAAGGTAAAGCAAATATAATTTCATTCAGTGTTCTGTGTTTATGAACGACTCACACAGTAGTCGATTTACAGATATGTTTATGATTTTTAACAATGATCAATTTAACAGTTGTAACTATGGCAATTCCCTGCAGACACTGGGACTCATCAGCAGCCAACAAACTACAATCCTGCACATGCTACTTCTCTTTTCACCTGCCCATGCTGCATGTGTTACACCGCTGAAATGATGGGCCAACTCATCTCCCGTGCAACATATTTATTTTTACAGAAAACTGTAAAAACAGAAAAATGTGACATTAATCAGTTCTCTCGGCGCGTGGGCCGTACACTGCCTCTTCACCACTGACAATACTTCTTCTAGTGTAGCTAACATTACTTTTTCCAAACTTATACAGTTTAATATTTACCTGCACCACTTTTAGAAACTGCTTAAATCACAGAAATGCATCTTACTGTATGCATGGATAACATAGTGAACTCTCACTACAGTTTTATCTTGTTTTTTTTACTACTGTTTTAATCTACTTATGAACCCGTCTTATTTATTAAGCTAGATCGCTTTCAAATAAATGTTTTTCTTAACATATTTCTATCGCATTCACTCCTCCTGAACTAAACATACAGCGATTCACATTTTCTCTTATAATGCAAAACATATATACCTGCATGGAAATCACAGAATTTCGGTAAAGTCTAATAACTGGATTGGCACAGGCTAACAACTGGAGCAACTTGGAAATTAGCTCTCTAGCTTAACATTCGCCACAAACAAGACATTTATCATTAATCGCCATTGCTGTCACTTTTAGAATCTCTGTTTTATATTATCAACCACCCAGCTTACCTGTAAAAACAGAAAAATGTGACATTAATCAGTTCTTTCGGCGCGCGGGCCGTACGCTGCCTCTTCACCCCTGACACTTCTTCGAGTGTAGCGTCAGCTACCGATGCGTACGAGACTGAGCGCCCTCTGCTGGCGGAACTTATATAACAGTAAAACTGACATTACAGTGGCCTTACTAAAAGAAAGTGTCTTTGAGCATAAAATAAAATGGGGGGCTACTATTTTCATGTCTCTATCTTTAACATAGTGCCACACATGCAAGCTACTACTCTTTAAAAGCCACTGAAGCCCGCCTCAAGAGGAGAAGAAAGCTGCTGCTCCACCCAGACAGGCTTCTTTCACTGAGTCGTTTGGTAGTGGCAGGCGACGTCCAGGTACAGACAGACGGTGCACCTATCGTGTCAGTGTCAGTGATCTGTGCTCAATTAGGCTTCAGTTTGAGTGTTGTTGTTCCTAATAAAGCTAAAAGCTGTTTTAAATTTATATAAATTAACATGACAACAAAATAAACAATGGAATGCCACAATAAATAGCTATGAAAAAAATCAGGGCAGAGTTCAGCTTAGAGTGAGATTACATCGTTTTATTAAAATGACGCTGTATGCTAGGATGACACTTACGTACTCTTTTTAGATTATTTACACTGTAAGCAGCAAACTTTGCCTAACCAAATGTTGGCCCATGAGCGACCAATGGTGCTGAGTGACTCAGTCTCATTTGTTTTGACAGCAGACAATTATTGACTAATTCATATATTTTTATGGCTTTTATTTACTTCGTTACATTTTCCACCAGCTGTGTTTTTATTTTTAATAACACAGCATTTTGTAGAAGATGGCGTCTCTCGCAGTGTACTTCAAAGAGCTTCAGTGCTCTTTAGTTTGACCAACTGGTTTGCCCCTCTGCATTTGTTGGTAGATGAGTGTGAACTCTCCTAAGGTATTGGTATCTGGGATACCAGCCTGGGTTTTATTTGACGGTGGGTTGGAAAGGAAATCAGTGGTATCACACATCACTCACTTCCTTTTCCACTAACCTTGCCATAGATGACAACGCTTGTTACCATGGTAGCAATAGACAACAAAGACTGAAGCAGTTTTAGGCTCAAAATGCTGAGAAGAGAGAAATAGAAAAGAGAAGCATGAGAAAAATAAAAGTCTCAAGCCACCCCTCATTTATTTATATTTTGCTTCCAAGGAGGCAGACTTGTGTTTTTTGTTAAACTGGACTTCTCTGTGCTTTCTAAAAGGTCTTTCAAAGTTCTTCAGACAGCGGCTGCTTTTTTGCTCACTTTCAGTCCAAATCTTGTACCTGATTATTTTCAGAGGAAGCTTTTGTATGTTAAGCAACTCAATCAATTACTCAAAACATTTTAAAAAATGCACCTAACTCAAGGATGAACCAGTGTTATAACTACACATAATAGGCAAATGGCAACATTAACAGAGTTTAACAGGCATGCCAAAGGTCATTCTAGATGAACTAGCCAGAAACGTGGCTCTGTTGGCATGGTGTGCAGTGTGTCCTTAAAATGTTTGAGTAAACTGGACATGCAGAGGACAAAAGAATCAGAGGGAGGCCTAAAACAATATCTATGGCAGATGAACAGTATCTGAAAAGTCATGTGTTGTGGAAATTGGGAACTTTTTCAGCATTATGTAATGCAGCAATACTGGAGTCTAAAAGCACAGTTCTACATTACGATTTCAAGTTTCTGTCAAATGCTGTAAAAATATAAAAAAATCTGTACACAAAGAAACTTTAAGTGCACTTAGAATACAACACAAATTCCTTTAATGAAACAACCCACGGTTGGTGGAGAAGATGGAATGGGACTTTGACTTCCTCCAAACAGTGACTTTGATTACCAAGATTTGTTTGTTTCTACAAAATGACAGCTAAAACCCCAAGTCCTTCTCTAAACCAAAGACTCACTACACTCCAAACTCAGTTCAGTGGTTGGCCACCTACAGAACAGGAAAAAAAAGAAACAGTGAGGGGAAAACCTCCTTTGTATCAAAGTCTATCTTCTTGTGACTCCCTGGCTCATGTTTATCGAACACTGATTTTAATGCTCCATTTTTATCATGGCGATTAGCAATGTTTAGTAATCACTCAAACCAAGACTTCCCCTTGTCCGTGCCAGTGTAAACACTTGTCATTTCAAAACAGCTTCATTTTGACAAAAGGGAGGACATAAATTTCCCTGTGAATGTCATGTATTTTTTCTATTGTTTGCTACATGATGCAATGGGTTAGTGTTTATGGGGAAAAAAGCAGTAATTGCAATATCAGTCATATGTGAGCCATGACACATGTGACCACCGTGAATCAGCCTTTTCTCTCTAAAATCCATCCCGTCACCGTTTTTCCGCCCGTCGCTGGCTCAGTTCTCTGCCACGCATTTTACAGGATCCCTTTTTCCCCCCAATAACCTCAGTTTGCTTTGATTACTTTAATCACCTTTGAATCTAACCAATTTTCAGAGCTTGCGGTAGCTAAGTCCAGGCCTACTGTTCCTGGTGGTGTGTGTGTGTGTGACTGGGCGAGATGCTCGGAGGTGCTGCAGTAGCTTTGAGCAGGAGCTGAAGAGTTTCCTCGACAGTAGGAAGGAAGAGGTGGGGTGGGGGGTAATGGCAGTAATGTGAAGGGGAGAGTGAGAGAGCGACCCAGACGGTGACTTGGCTGGGGTCAGGTGTAAACACACGCACAGCTGGCAGACAGATGTTCTCAGACGAGAGCCAGTCACCATGTCTTTGGTTCCTTCCTCTCTGCTCACCTGACGTTCCGCTAATTCAGCAACAAGGACAAAGCTTCAGAAATCATGCACGTGCACATGTACAACTGTGTGCAGACATGTTTAAAGTACACAATTCAATGTGCACAAAGGCAAAAAGTCAGGGTGGTGAGGGGGTGGGGGCACAAAGAAACCAAAAGCTCTGGTTACTCCAGAAGTGGCCTCCACTCCTCCTTTGCTTAGCTGGTTGAGCAAGTGTGTGGTTGATGAGAGAGAAAGTATAACGTTTCCTATTCTCTACTTTACAGGAGTGGTCTGGGAGACTCATCGGATGGGATTTTAAAGGGATCTTTCAATGCACTGACATTCATGAACGCACTGTGATTACATTCCTTTCACCCTTCCTTTTTTTCTCTCCTCCCTGTCTTTATTCACTATTTGCCAGCCCAACAGGATGGACAATTTTGTGCATTTTTGTGGATTTTCTGAGACCCCTAATCAAACTTTTAAACAAATGAGCTCATGATGTAATGGACTGGAGAGATGCAAGCAACAACAAAACAAACTTTGCTCTACTGCTAGAGCAATAAGCAAACGTTTACACCCCGGCAAACCCTTTAAATATTTACCAATCTCAGTAAAACAGTTGGGGATTATCCTGTATTGTTAGAACGCTGAGAAAAGACTCTCATACTTTCCATATTTTCTACTGATTCCACGAGGCTGAAAACAAGAAGGGGGATCAGATTAAAATCTCTTTGTACATAAACTACCCATTGACTCACTGTCTTCCTGTCGGAAGGAGCAATTAGCTCTCCGAGACAAAGATCTCAGACATGTTAAATGGCTGAAAATAAATAAATGTGGGTATTGCTGTTAGACTTCGGGCCCTGTTTCAATTACAGCAGAGGCTGTGGTCTGTGTCTCTCACTGAGCTGCTGGCTCCTTCGAGCTTTGCTTCTATGGGGACTTTTTAATTGCTATGTTTTAGCTAAGAGGGAAACAGAGAGGGGAAATGTACTGTATTCATCTTGGCCTCCCACTATGCTTCACTCATGAAGGCCTGGGGTGATTTGTCTCTTTAGCGCTGAACGCCGTACAGTGAAGTACAGTGCTCCTCAGACAATGCATTCATTCTTCCAGTGGTGAATGGCGATTTTCTTCCACAGGTCTTTTTTTTCTTTCTGTTCAGCAGATTGATTTATGTGACATAATTTATTATGACCAGCTACCCGAGCTCCTTCAGTTTCAGGCGGTAAAACGATCTAGAGATTTGCTAAAATCACAACACCTTCAATATAAAAGCTTTTGACAAAGTCTGCACTTGATATTCATCATTAGATTAGTGGCTGGCATCTGCTAAGCCTTATATAACTGATAAAAGTAGTCTGTGGCTCTTATTTTAAGGATTGCATTCCTCTTCAAACATTCCACACAATCTGCTGAAGTTGGTTATACCTTCGATGGAGCGTACAGTTTCAAACTCCTCACTCAGTTTTCGCTCTTTCCACATGCAGCCGATGGCAGCCATGTCAACTATCAAAAAGCGGCGTCTGCCTGCAGTGATGACTGACGAGCGATGGTAGCCAGATCTGGGCGCGCGCTCTCGCTCTCTGCATCCACACATGTGGATCATAGAGGGAGACCAGATACACACCTCCTGATCTCTCTGCTCTCAGATCAACACATTCTGTCAGCATCTCTCTATCTGTGCCTCTCTCACACTCTATCTTTCCTGTCTATTCACCGTGTTTAGGCAGCTCCATCAATCATTCGCATTCAGAGCTTCACGAGCCGCAAATGTTTAAAGGTCCCTTTGTCCCTTTGAGAGTGGGAGCGATGTGAATTTCCTCTCAGATCCGATAATCTGATGATGGTTACGCTTTTTTGCTTTTTTTCCAGGGATTCTGCAGCCGTTTTGTGTCTTTCTAAACCCCTAATAAGCAGCGTGTGCCTTTTGCGGTGATGCTTATACCTTTCACCCTTCCCCGTCTCGGCGCATTGCGTGATTACACGCAGGCAGATGGTTTGAGTTTAGGCCCCTGCCGCCACTCACTAATATCAGACATGCTTTTAATTTTTTCTCACATCTTAATGGACAACAGCACTTTGCACACTGCCAAGCCTTTCCTCTCACACTCTGTTTATTACCATATTTATTTAACTGGATTTAAGGAATGAGGCAATTTGCCCCTGCGAGGAAGAGACAGATAACGTGAGCGGAGCACAAACTCCACAATGAATGGCCGTGTATTTGAGTGTGAAGACTGCGGTCATGACATCTGTCAAAGACTTTTCGTCAGATAATAAACGTCACTGCACTGTGATCCCAAACAATAAACCCATTTTCTTTCTTTTTGAAAAGTCGGGCCTCTCTCTCAGGTACCGAAGTGTCTTCCTGCCTCTGGCAACGCTGGATCAAAGGGCGTTTTCCTCAAACACCCAGCTAATTGGATGATTAATGATTTTCATCTCTCCGGGCTTCTATTAAAGAATGTCTTCACACATTGGCTTGACCCCAAAGGCCACAGGATTACATTACTTGTGGTCATCTTTATTTTTATGTTATGCCTCCGCAGTAGTTGCAGTATCACATTTCACTACAGTGGCCCACTCGCTTACTGAAAGATAAACGCTTTTTGTTGACCTAAAGTGGTTTGCTTACGCTTCATCAATTGGTCGACCGGACAAGCAGACGTTGTGGGAGGAGAGACGAGGGCAAATAGCTCAGCAGAAGTGGCAGGAACAAAGACTGGTTTATGGCGTGTGGCCATCAGACACGGCTATATCAACACTGTTCGTCAGGGCCCAAGAATAGAGCGGAGGGCTGAGTCAGCCTAGCAGCAGCTAGCCACAGCGAGCTGAAAAGCGAGAAATGTACTTGCAAGAGGGCCAGATGCAGAGGAAAATGGGGGGAGAGAAAACAACCCAAGGTTTTGTTAAAAGGAGCTTGTTAAAGATTCCTGCTGTGGGATTTACTTTTTTGCCATTCACCATTTGACTCCATGATTCCACTCTTGACCCCACAGTACACAAACACAAATGGGGAACTTGGCCTTCACGAGGGCCCTGTTTACTGGAAATGCTGCTCACCAGGGACAATAAAGACTTATGATGCATACAAGGCTCCTAATGTAACTCCCATACCCACGCATGCATGTGCACGAACAGAAGGAGAAATGGGATGATAAACAGCGTGCATATGTCGCCTTTACCTAAATAAAGACTGACTCATTTTAAGGTCAGCCACAAATAAAGATGCCAAACTTTACTGTTCTTTAATGAAGGCAGGAATGAAAATTTGTCTTTGTCTCGGATCAAGGTCTCCATAAAAACCCACATTAAACATTCAGGGGAATTAGATTAGGTGAGCACAAATGGAAAAAGGCAAACCTATTAAAGTGCAAACATATAATTTATGTAGCTCCTGTTTATAGCAACAGGACCCAGCACTGTCATCGAGCTAACACTTAGGGGTATTGTGCGGTGGAAGGACGAGCTGTTTATTTTGTTTATCGCTTCACTCTATCGAGTGTATACGGAGAGCATGTGTGTGTCTGTGTGTGTGAGTGATGTGCACACACGTTTGCATTTGGAAATGATCTCCTGTGTTTTTCCTGTTGCAGAGCACAGAAGCGTGTGGTGTGGAAGCTCAAAGATTTCGCCCACATCAAGAGAAACCATCCGGCCTTACAGCCACAAGCCCTCCCTCTCCTCCCCCCTCTCAAGCGTAATAACAGAGCCATCAAATAGCCATATTTATAATCTTCGAGCGGGCCAATTTTAAAGTGGTCAACTCCAGAGGTATAGGAATTGTTGAGAGCAATTTGCGGTTTTCATTCTTAAAGAGGCACCATCCCAGTGGCAAATGAAATAAAGTCAGTTTCCTTTTTTTTTTCCATTTGTCTGTATGAAAGCT